GCATCAAAAGTACGGTGGCCACAAAGAAAATACATAAGCCCCAGGAGGTCAGGAAACCCGATTCATCTTAACACCGCCATATGCTTCATCTGTGACCACGGATGCAAAACAAGCTTTTGTAACTCAGTTATATCTTTTCATTCACTAAATGCTCATGAACACTGTATAAGGCTCCTCTCGCCTAAATGACTCCAGGACACTAACGTTCGTTTCCCATAGATGAAGGGTCCCTGGCAGGGTGGAAGGCACAGATTCTCTGAGAGCGAAGGGCACAGAAGTGATTGCTATTAAAAGACATAGGGTCGAGCCCTGGCTGGTGTAGCTCAATGGATTGAGCTCGGGCTGCGGAACAAAGAGTCACCAGTTCTATTCCCAGTCAGGACACACGCTTGGGTTTCGGGCCAGGTCCCCAGTGGGGGCCATGTGAGAGGCAACCACACATTGATGTTTCTCTCTTTCTCATTCTCCTTCCTGTTCTCTCTGTCTAGAAATAAATAAATAAACAAATAAATAAATAAATAAATAAATAAATAAATAAATAAAATTTAAAAGAAGAGACATAGGGTTGGAAGGGGGGGGGCAGGCAGCCCCAAGGCAGGGCTGGGTTGAGGTCAGAGCAATGGGATCAGGAGATCATATCCCTACATCTATAGCAAGAGCCTCTCTGCTGAACCCCCACCTCTTCTCCCTGTGTTTCCAGATACAGAATCCAGGCACAAATAACAGCCCTTTTTTATTACACAATCTTTTATGACAAAATCATAAGCATGTAGGTCTGTGATGTAACGCTATCACACTCAAGCACGCCGTGTGACGTGTTAGATGAAATGCTCAAGTGAAAACTATCAATTATTACGCGCCTACTCTTACCCTACCAACAACACTCAAGCGGGCGCTATTTCCCCCGGACTCTGTGTGGGGACCTGTCACATTTTCCAGCAGGATCCCTGCACAAATTCTTCTGTCCTATCTTGAGTGCTTCGGTCCGTACCTATATCAAAATTTTCCATTTACAAAATATCATCGCTGTGGGAACAATAGGGGCCCTGCTGATACTGTTCATCCTCTTACAACCAGGGCGAGACTTGGCTTCCCAAGAAGAGTTTTCTTATCTGAGTTCCTCAGGAGGAGTCAACACTCTTTAAGCCACCTGAAAATGGTTAGTTTTACTGTGGCGCCCTCTAGTGCTGACGAGGTCAGATTCACTTTCTATCCGGAGAACTACGTAGACCACAGAAGAGAAGCGAAATTTGGAAAAGCAGTAATTTGGGTAATTTTTGCCTGTGTTTTCTTTTGCATAGAATGGAAGGAAGCGTGTTCCCTGGCATGAGTCACAAGACCCTTTCCAGTTTTATCCTCCGCCACATGCCCGGGAACCCTCAATGTCAACCAATCGGAGCAACTTGCTGCTCCGCCTTAAAGCCTTCCACCGCTGTCCCTCTGGCCTGTTTGAAGACTTTCTCCTCCTCCTTCTAATATCAGCTGAAGCATCACTTCCTCCCCAGCTCTTGGCCTGTCTGAGACTCTGTTTTCTTACCTGTAGGTAGACTACCTCGAATCTGCTCAATAATCCAGTGATTCTATATGTTCTTTTAGTTCCGCTTTTAAGAACCTCCAAATACTAAATGACAAATCAGTTCACTACTTCAGATGCCTCTTTGTGATTCTCATAGACCCACTTACGAAACGTAAATTCAGTTGCATTGAAAATCGCTTATTTGCATTCCTGCCATTTTTTTAAGAATTTCTAAAAATTTGTTAGATTACATGGGAGCACACTTCAGCTGAGTAATCTGAGATAAGAGTTTTAGGCAGAAGAAAAAGACATTATTTTTTTCTCCCTAAATGATGCAAACAGAAGTCCAAGTTATATAGCCTGAAACTTTACCATGAAACTGTAAGTTCTCATTCCGACCATCATAACTGATAAACTCACTTTCCAAGTTCCTCTACTTCTGTTTTTCCCAACAGTCAACATGATGAGAATGTAAACCTTGGGCCATGAGATTTCCTGAAGAATTGTCACTAAAAGCACTCACACTGATACACTGTGAGAGGGCGACCCAGATCCTGGAAGAACCTGGCTTCAGTAGCCCCTGTACATGGACCTACATTTCTGCCATTGTTCCCAGCTGACATGTCAGGGAAAACTGGAAGCTTAATGCTTTGAGCAGCAGCCCTGATAAATGTCCAAACCGTGTGTACTGTTTTTAGTGACAGAAGCATTCGATTGTATAATCTGTACCATAGATATTCTTCTAGCATCCACTTCTTTCCTCCTTCTAAATAAGGTATTTTGCTACGGCCGGAATAGGTTATTTAGACATGTAGCTAGCATATAAATAAGTACAAATTACTAATATACGTGCAAATTGAATTTTCCCCAATCCCTTCTTAAGAACCAGGAAATTCATAAGCTCAGACACAAAAGTTTGCTTGCTTATATTTTGCATTTCTCAAACATAAAGCTTACAGGACATTAAACTGGAAGAGATCTTTCTGGTCATTTGATCCAAATGCTCACAAGGGAGGAAAACCGAAGTCCAAAGAGGGAAGTGCCATGAAGGAGTGCGAAAGCTCTGTCTTTTCTTTTTCTGACATCCCGGAATGAGAACTTCTGCTTGGCACATAAGTCAACCTGATGTCACCAAGGGAGGTGACTGTCACATCTGTGTTCTCACAGAGCCGTCTGTGCCAGCAACTCTTTTATAAGGCGAAAATCAAATCTAAAACATGAGGGGAAAGTATGATGATTCATCAGCTACCTTTCTCCTACAATTAAAAAAAAAATCCAGCTTCCCTGGGTAAATGACAAGTGGTTCAGCTCTCTTTCACTCCCTATACAGACAAGATCAGTCTGTAAAAGCAGAAGGGTATTTTGCATCATCATCTATCCCATCCTTCAGCCAAAATTCCAAACAATTTTATCAGTGAGTTTAGACAAATGACCAGCTTGTGCCTCTTTTTCAACAGCTACTCTGCATTCTTTTCTTTTAATGTCTCTCTCTCTCTCTCTCTCTCTCTCTCTCTCTCACACACACACACACACACACACACACTCCAGCCACCACCATCCCATCAAGCTTCAGGGAGAATACACACAGTCTATTTGTACAATCTTTCTCCTTACTAAAGTACATGAAATTAAAATGTTAAGACCCACTGCCCTGCATCCTGTGACAATATAAGAAATCATGTTAGCTAAAACCGTCTAGCTAGAAATAATAAAAAAAAAAAAAATGTAAAGTTCGTGTCAACTGAAGAATTGCAAACACCTGTGCTCCCAAAACTCTGCTCCAGGATCGGAGACTCCCCGGTGAATGCCGGCATCCTGACAACCTGCACCGAGCTCTCCCACCAGGCCCTGTCACGGAGCTGCTGGGCGACTGGCCAGGAAGGTCCTTCTCCTTCAAAGCATCCCCTGGACATTGCGAGTCCGAGGCAGCCCTGCCACCCGTGGTCTAATCATGCATTGCCCCTTTCGCTCTATCCTGCCCTGAGCCCTCGTTGAGCTATGACTGGAGGGGCGGGGCCGGAGGTGGGGGAGGGCACCTGTCCTGGCTTTTCATCGTCACCACATAAGGAAATCCGTACCACAGTGGTGGTTTGAAAAAGCACGCTCTGGGCTCCCAGACCTGCTACGCGCACTCAGCTGTTCTATTTTTAGTTACACTCTTTGTTTTCTTCTCGGAAGCGCCCGATTCCGGTCTGTGCCTTGGGCACCTTGCCATGGATGGACACAGTGCGCCACCCCCCGCCGCCCCCCCCCCCGCACCAGAAAGAGAAGGAAAGGTATGATGGATGGGATGGAGGCAGGAAGAGAATGGCGTGGTGCACACCGGACTGGAGACGGGAACATGACACCAGCTACCCTTCTGGAATTTAGGGACTTGAGTCCTCACTGCGGTGCAGTGAGCATAACCACACCCCCCACCAGCCTCTCTGCACGAAAAACCCCTGTTTCCTGCAGGCAAAGGCAAGCCTAGGTTTCTGCTAGAACTCCACTCATCCTATCCTGGTCTAGTTTGAGATGCCCAGCCTCTGGCATGTCCATCAGGAAGAAAGTTCCTATCATTTAGTCTTTACCAGGGACAGAGTGCTTCTCTAAGCAGAAGCAACCTGCCAGGGAAACGAGAATGACCAGACGAGCCCCAGTAAGGAGCATGAGGAGGCTATGCATGTATTTTCAGTGGAGCTGCCTGCAGTCGAAAACAACCTCAAAGACCTCATAATGTTTGCAGGTATGAATAAGTAAATAAGAAAAAATCATGTCAACGGGACCAGAATAAAAAGGAGAAATGGAAGGAATCTCTTCACTACGTGGGGGAAATACTAGAAAAATGATCACCCACCACATAATGTATTCGACCACATGGAAAACAGGCACAGTGAGGTCTGTACGTTGTCACTGGCGGGGAAAGGCTGGGAGAATCAACACTGCACTGAGCGGTTGGGGCAAACGTTTGGCCGTGTGTGCGTACACACGTGAACACACACATCTCTGTCTTTGACACGACGGGTTAGCCATTTAAGAGAATGTATGAGTGCTACCTTCAGCATTCTTTACAAAGCAGAAGTAAACGCCCCTGAGCATCTACGGGTGGGTGTAATTGAGCTCATTCTTATTCCCTTTTTATTTTAATCCCCCGATCAGACACTCACTAATGGAATGGGTAAACCAAGGTATATCAGTGACTCGAAGCTTCCAAGTGACAGCTCATCAAACAGCACCAGAATTCCTGCACTGCAAAGAAAAAGAGACAGATCCAGAAGCCGCGTCCCTGCCCTACCTCTGCTGTGCCCCAGCACGGCCACTACTGAGAAAAGGGAAGGAAAAAGGAGACGAGAGGGTGTTTAACCACACTCTACATTCCCCAGAAGGCAAGGAAAAGAAAACTTAACAATCTGGTTACCAGATTGTGTCCAGGGGACTCTTTGCTGCTGTTGGAGTGGCCATCAGCCTGAGCAGGTGGAAACACAGCACCCGGTGTGCATCTTACCTGAGGAGCATAGAAGTGCAGGCAGATGTAGGTGAGACAAAGGAGCAGCCCCAGCCCCTGGACCACGGCGGCCACCAGCAAGAGCCTGTGTGTAGGGAATCGCCGCCCTGGTGCGTTTCTCACATTCTCATCCAGGGCTTGGACCCCGTCCATCTTCACAATCCAGATGCAGGAAAGATGAAAGCCGAGCCAAAGGGAAATCTGGGGGAGAAATTGTCCTCTCCCCAGCCAAGAAGGAGAGGAACAGGAAACGAAGTGAATCGATCAGAAAATCCACAGAGGTCCCAGGACCAGAGATAAGTAAGAGGCAATTGAGAGAGCAGAGCGGACTCTCTCGGTTTTAACGCTGCAGGCAGGCGGGGAACTTCTTTGTGACTAATCTGAATTTCCCCTTTACTTTCTTTCTTTTTTTTTTTCTTCTCTGGGCTAACAGGGAGTTGTTTTTGTGGCATTCCAGTTCTGATTTGAGTGATGTGAAATGACAGTCATAAAAGAATGCTGTTTTCTTAATTTCTCATTGCACCGGTAACCAAATTGTGGGCCACTTATAAGATAAAAATCATCATCTGTTCCTGTAGGAGCCCGTCTATCCCTCCCCCTGAGGTGTCTTCAAATCCCAAAAGAGATTTAGGGAGAATGCTGGAAACCAAGCATTGAAGCCATTCTACAGATTTTGAGAGGTAGGGAGACACATACAAATCATTTTCAAAGTGAAAAAAGAGGAAAAAGAAGAAAATAGGATGGTGGATCACATAGAAATAAAGGAGCGAGACTCTCTCATTTTAAGCTTTGAAGGTCGTTCCTTTCTTCGAAGTCAAGGGTTGACTCAGAACTTGGAAAATAAGGATGTTCTACCAATTGATAGACACTACTTTCTCTTTACCACTAAAATAAATAACAAAATAATTTATACTGTCAAGTGCAAATTGACAAATATTTACTGAGTACCTAGTAATAAGCCTTGTGTGGTTCTGGGTGACAAGGGATGATGGGAAGGAGCTGTGTAAGACAGAATTCCATCTCTTCTCTGGGCAAGAATGCCCCTCGGAGCTCCCCATCAGTCACTCAACAGATGTTTTAAGAGAGAAGGGAGGAACTAATATTTTGACATCAACAATAAGAGACTTTATATGCAACTTAGTCTTGTAGAACATGAATATGAGGTGTATTCAAAAGAGAGATTGTGAAAAAAGGAAAATGCATTTATTATTACAGTATTAGTGACTTGAGATATGAATTAATACCTTCATGATAAGCGTGATGACTTGCATTTGAAGGACACATTGGTTTTCAGAAGTTTAATTTTTTTGTCTGAGACAAAAAAGGGAACTGAGACCATTGTGTCATAGACTCCAAGGCAAAACTAGAAGTCAAGGTCCATCCAGACTTACCTCCGAACTGTCATTCCCACAAACAAAGTATGTGTAATATACAGGGTGTGTGGAGGGAAAATGAAATGAAAATCAGTGTGTAGAACCCAGCCCTCATAGAGAGTTAATAGCTATAAATAGACATTAAAATGGATAGCGATTTATAGATTTATTTCAAAAACTAAAAGAGTCACAGCAAAAAAATAAAACAAAACAAAAAGCCAAAGATGCTATTGGAAATGAGAGTAGCTGGAAAAGAATAGAGAAAACTATGAATGCCAAAAATTGTAGAAAATATCTTTGAATGATGGCCAAACCGATGGAAAATATATGCATTTGTAGAGTGTACGCCTGTGCCCTGAACGGCCTATCACTGTTAATGTCACTCCTACAAAGGACAATTGACAACTGCTATTTCCCCTCAGAGACCAGGAGAACAGTGCAACATGATGAATTGCCCCTTTGGTAGTGTCCCCCCAAAAAAGCAGAGGGTCAACTATGCCAGCGTTTGAGCCAACGCTGCTCTCGTCTCCTGCTCTTCAACCTCAGGTTGTCAGATTTTGCCTACTGGTAATTTTTGGCTGAAACTTGAGTGGTTTACATTTAATTGTTTCTTATGTCACTTATCACCACCTTACAGCCTTTTCACATTCTCTGTGGGAAGAAGGGGAATTCTCGTAGAAAAATAAATATAAATTGACTTGGAAGTTCCTAGTGAGAGCTTTGGATAGACAAGGGAAGCATTTCGGAGTTCACCGTCAGGGTGGCCCAGCAGCTGGAACTCACAAACCTGCTATTAGAGAGACCGCGGACAGCATTTTGGGCCTAACTTAGGGGGAGAGTCCTCCACCTCCAAAGTTGACATAGTTTAAATAAATCAACATGTTATCTGAATCTATGGGCAATTTTTGTATCCTCACCCGAGAACATGTTTCCATTGATTTTGAGAGGGGGACGGAACATCAATGTGAGAGAGAAATGTCCATTGGTTAGCTCCCGCATGTGCCCCTACCGGGGATCGAACCCGCAATGTAGTTATGTGCCCTGACCAGGAAATGAACCAACAACCTTCTGGTGTATGGGGTGATACTCCAGCCAACTGAGCCACACAGCTAGGGCTGGGTAATTTTCTTAAAGCATCCCACACATACTCTGGTTTCTCTTCAGATTGCATAAATCTTTTGCTTTTTTAAATTTTTTTTTATTTTAGAGATTTTTATTTATTTATTTTTAGAGAGAGGGGAAGAGAAGGAGAAAGAAAGTTAGAGAAACATCAATGTGTGGTTGCCTCTCACGTGACCCCCCACTGAGGACCTGGCCTACAACCCAGGCATGTGCCCTGACTAGGAATCGAACTGACGACCCTTTGGTTTGCAGCCTGTGCTCAATCCACTGAGCTACGCCAGCCAGGGCAATCTTTAGCTTTTTAAAGCATATCACAAAGATCAAATATACAGACACACCTGAGCAAACCATCCTTGGCATGGGAGCCTCAGACTTTATTCAAGTAATTACCTTTCCAAAGGCCATCATTTAAGACTATTATGCCAATAGTCTTTCCAAAGACTATCAGCCCCTAAATGTACACCTCTTTCAAGACTACAGAAAAGCAGGGAAATAAGGCTTTCACAACTGACATGATACCTCTTGTTTAGAAAGCAACAAAAACTTTCTTTGATTTTTTTTGGTTTGGGAAGTTCTTTTCATTTGTTTGGGTTGGCGATGATATGCCTGTATTATTCATTTGTTTGTAAGTCATTTGTCTAGTCAACAAGCATGAACCAGGTGCCTACATATCAGTGCTGAGGGACAAGAGAGGAGTGGACCATATTCTCAGTCTTCAGGGAGGTCACAGCCAGGACAGTGCTGGCTCTGGGTGGCCGTGCGGGAGGGAAGGCACACACGGCGGATGCTGGCTCTGACTGGGGTGAGGACTAGGAGAACTTCCTTGGGATGAGTCAAGTAAGCCTCAGAGAATCCAGAAGCCATCTGGCCATCCGGGGGAGTGTGGAGGGACAACGATTGCCGGGCAGGGAGTGGGGAAGATGCAGCCTGGGGCCTTTCTCACCCAGACCGCCACAGCTGGAGAGGAGGAAGTGGAGGAGAGTGGCCGGGGAAGAGGGTGGGAAGCTGTCATGAGTGGAGTTCCATTACAAGAATTGGGACTTTATCCTGAAGACACTGGGAGAACATAGAAAGGTATGAAGCAGAATGGGATACAATTACGTTGTACACAAAAATCACTCTGTATGAAACAGAAATGGCAAGGTGGGATCAAGGAGACCAGCTGGGAGACCATTTCAGGGGCTGGGTGCCAGCTGAGGGTCCCGCAGCCCTGAATCAGCTCCCTGAGCACTCCATCTTAGAGCGGGGGTGGGGCTGGGGGGTGATTCCATCCTACCGGCCACGGAGGCTCGGTCGTCCCACGAAGGTATACTCTGTGCCCATGCCCTCAACAAAGGGCTGCCTTCACCTAAGTAAAGGCCTTTCTTCCAATTCATAAACTTAGAAAGGGCACTTCGTTCTAATCCACACACAGAGTATGAGCAGGGCAGTTGGTCCTCAAGCTTACGATAACCTTTTTAAAATCCTTATCCAAGGATATGTTTTCATTGATTTTAGTGAAAGAGGAAGGGGAAGAGAAGGGGGTGGGAGAGACAGTGAGCGAGAGAGAAACACCAAATAGTTGCCTCTCACAGGTGCCCTGACTGGATGGGAACGAAACCTGCCACCTCGGTATGTGCCCTGATTGGGACTCCAACCTGCAACCGTTTTGCTGTACAGGACAACGCTCCCACCAGCTGAGCCACCCACCCAGGGCTTACCATTATCTACGTGAGAAATAATAAGGTCCTGAACTGAGGCAGAGAGCATCATGAGAGAAGAGGATGCTGACAGGGCTCTTCATTCCCCAACCATTTCAAGGACTCACTACGTGCCCACCTCTGAGCCCACAAAGAGAGTTGTAACTAAGCTCTGCTCTGGTACAGGTGACGGGGGATGGGCAGTGATGGGAACCCATGCGTTTCAATGTCAAGAGCCCAATTTGCCATCCGTCTTCTTAACCCGCTCTCAATCTTAAAGCCCCCATGCTGGCTCCTGTGGTCAACCCTGGAATCAGCTGCGGTGCTTCCCTGCCCACTGATTCTAGCATCGCGGGGCTGCGCTGCCCGGCAGCTCAGACTCCCCTCCACTTTGCTCTTCCTACCGCTTCCCACCCAAAGTCCTTACTGCTCCCCACATGAACTCCTGCATTAAACTCGCATTCTCTTGCACCTCCAGCCCAGTCTGCCTTGGCAGGCTCTTCACCCCAGTCACGACCAGGATCCTATCTAGGGGCTCCATCTCAGAGAGTGGAAAGTAGAAATTCTTTAATGACATCCAAGTCACTCCATCATGAAACTCCAAGTGTCCTCTCCAAATTTATCTCCCACTACTTCCTGAGTATTTCCGTCAGTCACATGGCCTCAAATACCCTTACCCTCCTACTCAGATGACCCAAACCCTACACACTCACACTTCCATGAAAGGCTGGCTGCCTGGTGAGGTGGTGAGCTTGCATTGTTCTAGAAGAGGTAACACCTTCTAGAGGTAACACCTCTAGAAGAGGTAAAACCTTTCTAAAGGAGTACTTACTGCTCAGGGAATTCTAGCATTGGGTATCGGATTTGTAGAAGCAGCAGTTCCCAAAGCCTCACTGATTATCACTAGCTCAAAAAGAACTTCGGGAAGAGCCAGATTTCCTAATCCCTTTACTTGGGAAAGTCTGATTCAGTCTCGATA